ACATTTGATGTGGAGTGCGGTGCCTTGGTCTGCCTGAGTGTTCTTGAAGCCCCCTTTTTTTTGGTTTGTTTTTTCTCTTTCTGCAGGTCTAGAAGCAGACTCTTGTTCATTATTGGTCAGAATAATATAGCATGAAAAAACAATAACTATGAAGTTTTAAGTATCAGGCATTACATTAAAAGCAGACGCTTTGATGCTCCACCTTAGAGTAAGGCCTAGTCCACACGTAGCCGGGTTTTTTTAAAAACGAATATCCGCCCCTCCAAAAACTTGCATCCACACCTCCTCGTTTAAAAAAAAACTCTGTCCACATGTACCCGGATAAATACGTTGTTAAGGACATGCCAGACCTGTAGGCGGCAGTACTTCCCCCGTTCTTAACCTCGTCCTTCGTCTGTGGTCTTACGCAAGGAGCAGTAATTCCGCTTGCAAAAACAAACAAGCAAAAAGCGCTTGGGCAATTGATAAAGCGAGTGCAGCTCTGAGGGCATCTGAGGGCATCCATGCTGTCGACTAGAGTAAACACAGGTCGCACACGTGATGTCAGCATTTTTTTGTCGCGGAAAGTGACGTTGCGGACCTTAAAACTCCGGTTTTGTCTGTCCACACGCAGACACCCAAAACGGAGAAAACGCAGATCTTCACTTTGGCCGGAGTTTTTAAAAAGATCCGTTTTCGTGTGGATGACAGGCCAAAACATAGAAAAATGTCTACGTTTTGGCAGATCCCCGGCTACGTGTGGACAGGGCCTAAATCTGTAAGGCTTGTCACCAGCATTCAGACATTAATTCTGTTTGCTTCACAGCCAGACAGGACACGGGGAAAAAAAAAAAAAAAAAGAAGTAACGTCGTCTCTCGTTGAGCAGCTGAGTGCTTTGCATTTCCGCAGCAGGGAAGCGCTGAGCCGAGCTGAGTGAAGTTAGCTTCACTCACATCAGAAATCCATGCAAATAGAGTGATTAATGCTCTTTCGTGTGGGTGAGGAGCTGGCTTCACTCAGCTGCAGCGCTGTTACTTGTAACTTTTGCGAGACAGGCAGAAATGTGCACTTTGAGCATAATTTTCGTTTAGTCTTGGCTCGTTAACGAAATCTACCATTCATCTCGTCATGTTTTAGTCACCAAAGAGCTATTTTTAGCTCGTCAGCGTCTCGTTTTCGTTATGAAAAAAGGGCCGTCAACTAAACCAATTCATCATAGTTGTCTTTAAAGAAAACGTGCAGTCTCTGATGATCTGATATCCAGCTGTAACAGAGAGAAACTCCTAGAGCTCTGCATCGCTCCAGCTTATCATCTCATCTGATTCTGTTAATGTTGCTCAGTTGACACTTTTAAAAGCAATCTGAAAACTCATTTGTTTCTCCGGGCATTCTAAACATATTTTGTATGCAGCTTGGCTGCATACAACTTTTTATGTATATTGTGACTGTAGTTTACAGTAGCCTATTTATGTGTTGTTTTAACTTGTGAAGCACTTTGTGACCTTTTTGTCTGTGAAAGGCGCTATATAAATAAAGCTTACTTACTTAATTACTTCTGTTAAAGCAAAATTTGCGGCTCGTCTGTACTTTCATATTTAAGATAGTGGCCGGCCGGAGCTCGGCAGTAACTCCCCTCGTGATCATGACACCTCCCTTTGTTGCGCCAGGGCGCAATATGCATTCACAAGTCCAGCGTTGCGGTAACATTACTACCAAGCATGGTGGCACGTATGCCACAAAATTCCTGCAACGCCATGCTGCCACAACACGTTTATCAGATACACCATGGCAGCAGTATTACGCTGATTGCTGGCATGGTGTGTCTTCTAAAAAGGGCTTTTATTTTCTGGGAGTGATGACACACATGACGCAGCTAAAATCCCGGATTGTGGGAACTGCCCACACTGGGATTAAATGCATGGGTGGCGGCGCAGAGACTTTGTCCATTTTATTATACAGTCTCTGTTTGGTTCACCCGTTCCCTTCGTTGAGCACCTTGACTGTCCTGAACACAAAACGGCAGCTCAGATGATCAGAATGAATGAAGCTAAAGTGCACAGAGGATGCAGTGGGATCCTGTTTTTCTGAGCTGCATAGAGCTACAGTGTTTCGTGTACACACAAAGTGTCCTGGGCCACATTCAAAGGCTGCCCACTCAGCTGGCAGCTTTCCTCCTGCTGATTCAGAACAGCACATTCTGTAGCGTCCCTCACCAGGTACTCATCTATCCTATCAAAAGAGATACATTTGGTGCTTCGAGTCAGCTAAATGCAAGTGAAAGTGTCCCGTAAAACCTGGATGAGGACAAACATAACTGAGTTTAGATCGATTTAGAGGGAAGAGAGGGGTCAAACAACTAAAATCTGCAAAAACCACAACAAACAAGCTAGAAAGAGAAACGATGGGTGGTTTTGCAGTAGCTGAATCAAAGTCTGAAAATACAGAAATCTTAAAAGAGCAATAAACAAACAGAAAGGGAGATAAAATGTCTTCGTAAGGAGAGTGGTGCTAGTCCTGGTCCGGGTCTTTAACATGTCTGAAACGTGGGTCCCGTTAGTAATGACAGCTGTCACCGCTGGTCTGAAGTCAGTCAGTTTCACATGCACACCAGAGCAGAGTGAATGTAAACACACACGCTTTCCTTGGAGGTCACTTCCGCTGCTACCACGGCTGCAGGAGTGCACCCTGGTGATTTGAGTCAGCAAGCGTCCTGTCAGTTTTACAGCTGTGTTTCACATTTACCCCCCCCCCCCCCCCCCCCCCCCCCCCCCATGCATCCAAACGTTTCAGTTCGTTCTCTCCCTCTAAATTTTTGGAACAGCTCTGTTCATTGTGCATCCACCCCCCCACTCCCACCCACCAGGACACACTCTTCCCGCTCACGCCCTCTGCTCCCCGAGTGCAGCAGAAGCCAGGTTTCCATGGTAACCCCTGTTACAAAATGTCAGAGTTCTCTTTGGGCTCTTTGTGTTGTGTGACTGGCTCGTCATCTGCACATGCTTCCCAGCAGATCCAGGGCAGGCCGAGTGTTTGGAGAAGCACCGCTGGCCCAGCTGCCTCTGACAGTATGTTTCATTCTTTCTCACCTGAGATTAAAGTGGATTCTACGGATTATTGCCATTATAAACCATCTAAAAACATTACCCTGAGTTCATAACTTACTTCATTGATTTTATTTGTCACCTCAGGAACAGAAACGTGAGTTATTTTTAAATAATAAATGTGAAAATTCCTTTTTCAAATATTGTTTTATTTATGGAAAATCATATTCAGACATTTGAATTCTCACTCAAAAGCGGAAGACTCACAACTCCTGGGTTTTGGATACTATAGTTTCTGACTTTTATCTTACTTATCTAACAGTAAGATGCATATTTGTTCTATTGATATGTATAAGAAGATGTGATTATCTCATTATCAGGACTAGGAAGCATTAGTGCCTTATGACTGAAAGGCTCCGGTTTAGCCTCTACATGGTGGAGTATGAGGAGGAAAACTGTGTTTGACGGTCTAATAAATAGCTTAGTGCTATTGCTAATGATGTACTGCTAATTTCCAGTAATAGTGCCATCATGTAAACAAAAATAACATGAACCTCAAAGGTGTTTCCGGCCTGTTCAGCAGCACTTTCTCTTTTTTATTTTAAATGTACACAACTTTTTCATATTTCTAAATCATTTTTGAGCCAGTAGGAGCTAAAAAAAAGTTACGCCAAGTCAAAATGTGTTTCTGTTGCACATTTCAGTTTCAACAGCCGTTGCCCCACAGCGCTGAATGCAAAGTGATAGGCATTACGTAGTAGAAGGACTGAAACAATAAATTACATTAAACCACAAGCAGAAAATCAAAAAATACACAACAGATTCCAAAAAAAATGAGAAGTCAGTCAGGCCCTTCCTGCTCCTTGTGGGCAGAATACTGCAATTGCAACTTGAGCCTCTCCAGACCAGTGAGCTGAAGTATCGCAACGTTTTGCTGCGGGAAGCAGTTGCACTTTATGGCAATCCTTGTTTACATCTCAGATCAGGCGAGCTATACCTTATTAGCATGTATTGTAACGTGTCATCATGATGGAGCCTCTAGAGAAGCAGAAAACCTTCATCTGATGAAGCTTAAATGAAAACAACATTCAACCACATGAGGGGTCAAACAGGATCGGGAGTTTTCTGAACTCAAAGATGAATTCAGTTCCAATTGAATTTGATTATTTTTTTTTATTAAGCACCAAATCACGTCAAGAGCCGTCTCAAGGCACTTCACATTTGATCAACTTCCAGACTACAGAAGAACCCCAGGTACAGTTGGATCCTCCTTCTCCAGTTCAGGAGGTCCACCCGAGGCCCCCCAGGCCAGGCAGGCGTCGCTCCATGCTGCCCTTCTACTGGCTGCATACAAGCCAACCCCCAGGCCCAGCCCGGGTCTCCACCCAGGGACGATACAGCTATCGGGCAGCGACACATGACCGCCGTCAACTAAAATGACCAAAATTCTTTTAAATTTTAGTCACAATTTAGTCATCCAATTAGCTTCAGTTTTAGTCCCATTTTAGTCGACCAAAAGGCAAAGCTATGTTGGTCGAATAAAATATATTTATTTTTCTTCTGATGCAAAAAGTTTCAACGTGTGTAAAGAAAATGTTAACGACACCTAATGAAACTGTAAATAAATATGTAAAAATCACGTTTTATACTTTGGATGAATAAAACTCTTCATTTATATTTGCTTCTATAACAATAATTATTGGAAAATACCTAAAGACTCATCAGGGGATGGGAAGGTGGGATACCCACAGTAGTTTTGGCTCGTTAAATAACAACAGACAGCTACAGCTTATGAGCTTGTCTCTCCCATAATACCAGTTAGAATTGACAAAGCTCCTCGGATGAGAAGTGAAACGTCTTCAAGAAGCCAAAGAAGTCCAGTTGCCTTCATTCGAACCCTTTGGGTAACTTGTGTGTGTGTTCAGGTTCATTCCCCCTCTGGAGTTAAACCCATTTGTGTGTAAATGTGTGTCCAACAGAGCGTGTCAGCAGCGGCCGACTGCTTGGAACGTTCCTGAGTGTATGTGTCCTGACGGTGCTGTGTGGCCTGGTGGTGGTGGCGGTGTCACAGCTACTGATGCAGAAGAGGGCGAGGTCACCAGGGGGCGCCTCTGCAGAGGGAGGCTACCACTGCACTGGGAAGGTAAGCAAAGGGGGACCTGAGCTGATTACCATGCAGTGACCACAGAAAAGTGGAGGGAAAAAATTGACTCCGCTGTAAGACGTCCAGATGTTTATTACATTTCTTTTCAACTCCCAGTTCACCATCAGATTTTTGGCCCTATATGAAACACAACACCTTTGAGAAGATGTTTATGGAAATCTGTGAACACAAGGGAGTGTATTCCTGGGATACAGACACTTGAGCTGCTCTGAAGGACTTAGGAGGATTTGATTCCTTTCATAAATGGATTTTGACTCTAAAATAGATATGCTTACAGAAAGGTTTATGCTTTTAGATTTGTTCAAACAAGTTTTAAATTGGCTTTTGAAACTCTTAAATATGAGTTTTGCCCTAAATGAACTTAAGGTATTAATTTTGTGTTCATGCTTCAAATTATTGCAGTCAATACTTTTTGCCATTTTTAAGAATATTTGAGCAAAAATACAAATGATTACTATCTTGTATCTTGTGTAAAATCCTACAGAAATCACCTTAACATTCTAAAATATTGACGTTAGAGCTGTGTTTTATGTTTTGGGTGAATGTAAAGCCTTTTTATTACTTTTTCTTCTTAATATTTGATTTTTTTTTTTTTTTTTTTTTGCATTTGTTGTGGATGTGACTGACTGTAACATCAAAATTTCCCCTCTGCAGGATCTTAGCTTAACCCTTAAAGATGTGTTTCACTCATTTAATCAATACATTTGTAGTGGTCTATAGTTGGAATGAGTGCCTTGTAAGTTGCACTCTGGGAAAAAAAATCTCTAATTCAAGAAGTACAAGTCGTCTGGAGGAGAAGGTAGCTTCAGACGGTAGAATTTGGAGTCTTATTCCTGATATTCGGATGTCTCTCCTCTGATTGGCAAACAGCAACACGACTCTACCACTGACTCTGTTTGCTCTGCTTGTTGATGTTTAATCTCCACTAATAACACAAGCCTGGAGGAGTTCTGCTGTGTGGTGGAGTTGCTAATGCTAACATTTAGCTTCTACTAGCCAAGACATTCTCTGCTGTTTCCTGAATGCTAAACCAACAACAGCCTTCCCCGTCGTGAGTCAAGATGGGTGAGTCCATGAATGTTAGGCGACAGTGTGATGTAGATCTGTCAGGATTTTCTGATCCTAGAGTTTCACCGTCTATTTTCTATTAGAAGCTAATGCAGAAGATAGGTCTAGAAGACTGTTTTCATGTTCAGCCTGTATGAAAAACTAAAAGTGACCCGTTAGAATCAGAAATAATCATTAGAATTTTGTTTTTCAGTGAACCACACCTTTAAGTTTTCTGGTCCTGTAGGATAAACTTCATTTCTTAGTTCAGAAGAAGAAGAAGAAGAAAGTATCATTTCTGTAGCGCCTCTCAAGATAAAAATCACGAGGTGCTTCACAAAAACAAAAAATGTAAAAATATAAAAAAGAATTTAGAAAATGTTTGAAAAATATATTTTAAATGAGTAAAAAACAGACAATTGTGATTAAAAAAAATTTTAAGAAAGAGAGAGAGTGAACAGGAAAGAGGGAAATCAGTGGATCCTGAGGAAGGTGGAATAGGTGGGGAGAGCAGAATAAAGAGAGAGTGGTGAAGAAGGTCATACAAAAGCCAGCTTGAACAAGTGAGTCTTCACCTGCTTTTTAAGGGAGACCACTGAGTCCACTGATCTCAGGCTCAGGGGGAGAGAGTTCCAGAGTCTGGGGGCCACAGCAGCAAATGATCTGTCACCTTTGGTCTTTAGCCTGGTGCTGCATAACCAGTAGGCTTTGATCACTGGACCTCAGGGACCTGCTGGGGGTGTAGGGACTGAGGAGATCACCAATGTAAGATGGTGCTTGTCCATGTAAGGCCCTATAGACCAGAACCAGGATCTTGAAATGAACCCTGAAGTTGACTGGCAACCAGTGAAGCTGGAGTAGAAGTGGGGTGATGTGGGTGTGTTTGGAGGACTTGGTCAGAAGCCGAGCACAGGCATTCTGAACCACCTGCAGACGGTTCAGGGAGGTTCTACTCAGACACGTGAAAAGAGAGTTACAGTAGTCTAAGCATGAGGAGATGAAGGTGTGGATAACCGTCTCAAGTTCAGAGCGGGACAGAATGGGACTCAGCTTAGCAATGTTCCTGAGATGGAAGAAGGAAGAGCGAACAAGAGAACTGACATGAGAATCCAGGGTGAGAGCTGGGTCAAAGGTCACACCAAGATTCCTGACAGAAGGTTTGGAGCAAAGCTATCTAGGATGACGGGTCGGGTTGGAGTTGGGAGAGGCGGCGATAAGGCTGAAGGAGAGATGCTACATCTAACCTTATTGACTTTGTCCACAAAGAAAGACAGAAAGTTCTCACAGTCTGCAACAGAGTGAATGGAGGCTGTAGGAGAGGCAGGAGAGACGATGCTGCTGCTGATGTTAAACAGCACCTTGGGGTTCCCTTTGCTCTGGGACACCAGGTTGGAGAAATAGGAAACCCTAGCGTCTCTGACTGCAGAGTTAAAGGATGTCAGAAGATCCTTTAGGTGCAGCAGATGGACGTGGGTTTTCTTCCACAAGTGCTCAATTTTTCTGCATTGGCGCTTCAGGCTGCGAAGGCTGTCATTAAACCAGGGAGTAGGGTTCACTGCAGGAACTGATCTGGTTCTGACAGTCCAGATGTTGTCCAGAATGGAGAGGCAGTGCTGTTAAACTGAGAAGTTAAGGAATCTGGGTCGTTATCAGAAGAACAGGGTGGATCAAAAGCAGCAGAAAAATTGAACTAACCATACAGCGAGCAGGAGGTGGGGACGCAGAAACTGACAAGTTAAAGAAAATGCAATGGTGATCTGAAATATAAACGTCCTCAGGACAAACACTGTCAGCATTTAGACTCAGGGTAAAAACAAGGTCTAGAGTGTGCCCCCTGGTGTGTGTGGGGCCAGAAACATGCTGGGTAAAGCTGAAGGAGTCCATAAGGCTGGAGAAATTCATGGCAAAGTGATCAAAGGGATCATCAACGTGGATGTTAAAGTCACCAACAATCACCAGTCTGGACAGCTTCACAGTGGAGGATAGAAAGTCACTAAACTCCTGAAGGAAAGAACCGTTTGGACCAGGTGGACGATAGACCACAGCACAGCAGAACGAGTCCTTACGCCCGACTTTAATCAGCTGCAGTTCAAAGGAAGCAAAGTGACCAGAGGTTGTAGAGCTACATGGAAGATGGTATCTGAAAACAATAGCTAGGCCTCCACCACGACCAGAACCCCGGGGCTGGCTAAGAAAAGAATAACCACTCGGGCAGAGTTCAATCAGACCAGAATAATCAGATGTTTGCTGCCAAACTTCAGTCAGAAACAGAAAATCCAGGTTTTTAGAGAAAATTAGATAATTGAGCAGGAAGGACTTATTGTTAACAGAGCGGGTATTTAATAGAGCCATGCTGAGTGAGGTGGAGGAATCAGAAACTACAGAAACAGCTGGAGTTAGTGGACGTCAATTAGCAGGGTTAGATCCACGGTGTTTATAAAAACCACTTATGGAGGGAACAGGAGGAGAAACCACTGAGAAATGAGGATAAACCGACCTTAAAAAACTTGGACGGAGAAACCGCGCCGCAACGCGGCCTGGCGGGAATGTGGAAGTGGCGCTCAGATCACCAAACAAAGGACAAGAAGCTAGAAGATCATGCCGATGTTTACCAGATAAACCACACCTTAAGAGAAGTCTTATTCTCACCTGGATTCCAGCTCCTTTACCTCTTTTCCTCCGACGTTTTCCCGGGACCGGATAAACATCGCTGGAGGTGTGCAGGTTGGGATCGTTGTTTGGCTCCGGGCCAGTGCGCCACTCAGATAAACAAACAGGGAGGTACGTCCTCGGTGCATCTTGGGCGATTGTGAATGAACGGAAGGACAAAAGAGTCTGGCGATCATAGGAGATGGTAGCAGGGACACTACTGAAGAGGGTCGCAGACAGGAGCAAGGTGGAAAAGAGGAGGTTAGTGGAGAAAAGTTTGAAAAAATGGCCGGTCACTGAGGCTAAAGGTTGGTTTATGCTTGACGCGTCCGCGAGGTCCGCAGGGCTCTGCGCGGAAAAGTTGCGTCATTTTGCGTCATTTTAACAACCACGCCCCTCCACCGCTCCGCACGGCCCAAGATTTCCGCAACGCGCACCTCGGAAAATTTCTAACCACGCGGACGGTCGGACGCGGAAAAACATGGCGGACTGGCACAGCAGAGGTTCGTAAATACAGACATTTGTATGATTCAGCTCTCAGAGATCACCGTGATCAACATGTTGTTAATAATTCTTGGAGAGAAATAGCTCGCACTGTCGGAAAAGACGAGAACGCTGTTAAAAATGCTGAAATACCATGTTGTAAACAGTGATTTCTACTTCTACTATGGTGTAGTGTTGGATGCATGCTGTAGAGCTCCATGCTGCCCCGTTCAGTTTGGGAGAATATTGGCTCACCGCAGAGACGAGCCGCACAAACCATAAACGCTGCGAGTTGTGAAGCGCGTTCCAGCCGCGAGCCGTATCACCGCGTGGAAAGTGAATGCGTCAAGCATAAACCAAGCTTAAGCCAAGCACAGGCGCCATCTTGTTATGGACCGGAAGCTAGGACTCCATCTATAATGAGTAGCCTTGTAATTATTTACAAACTTTACATTACTGCATGTCAAAATGGTCAAAAACCTCTTTTGTACATTCATTCTGTGTTTATCTCCATGATCTATGTTCTTGTTCGTGTTTTTTCAGTTTAATAAAATTTCGTTTTTTTACCTGACATGTTTCAGCTAGTATCTCTAGCTGTCATCAGAGATCGCTGGTGTTGGTGGCGTCACTTCCGTTTAGTCGTGAGCAGCAGAGGACAATGCCGCCCTCTACTGCCCGAGTAGAGGCGATGGCGTATTCCCATTGGATCATGCATGGGTCAGTGTCATCAGCAAGGAGGATGTGGGCTGTAGGATAAAAGGAAGTGATGCCATCAACACCGGCGATCTCTGATGCTGGCTAGAGATACTAGGTGTAACACGTCAGGTAAAAAAAACTAATTTTTACTAAAACTGTGTAAAAAAAAGAACGAGAAAATGATCAAAAAGTTCTTGTGAATGAGCTTTTCTACTGATTTAAAAGCAGTTTACAGATTTTGCCAACAAGAGAGAGTTGGTAATCCCAAAAACGTCTCAGTGTTTTTTTATTAATTTATGACTCTGGAAAGTAGAAGTTAGAATGAGTGTTGCGCTAGTCTTGTAGTTAGTTTCAACAGCTGCACATGTTAAAAGCATTTCCTTTGAAATGATTGAGGCTCACGTAGAAGGGAGTGTTTCTACACCACACACACACACACACGCGTCCAGAAAAGCATGCTTGTGGATATTCCCACGTCTCCTCCCTCCTCACCTATGCAGTCTTGCGTAATCAGTCCTCCCCATGAGCACAACACAGAGCGTTGGGGGGGTGGGGGGGGGGGTGCAGAAACTGTAATCTTTGCTAATATTTTTCGCAGACTGCACTGCAGCAGCTGCTTTTGTAGAATACAAAATACCTTTGACCTACCGTTGCCACAGCAGTAGCTCAGGGGGCAGAGCGGGTTGTCCGGTAATCGGAAGGTTGCAGGTTTGATCCCAGGTCTGACCAGAGGGTGCTGCTGTTGTGTCCCTGAGCAAGACGCTTAACCCACTCTTGCCTGCTGGTGGTGGTCGGAGGGACCGGTGGTGCCAGTGCTCGGCAGCCTCGCCTCCGTCAGTGCGCCTCAGGGCAGCTGTGGCTACATCGTAGCTCATCACCACCAGCGTGTGAATGTACGTGTGAATGGGTGAATGACTGATTGTGTTGTAAAGCACCTTGGGGAGTTGTAGAACGCTAAGATGGCACTATACAATTACAGGCCATTTACCATTTATTTGTCCATTTTAGGATTAAAAAAGTTATTTTAATACTTGTTTTCTAATATTATCTAATAATTATCTTTTTATTTGCTTTCATATCTATTTCATGTTTATTTATTCCGGTTTTGTTATAAACAACTAGATTTTTCTTTTGCAGATTTGTTGAAAACATTCTTTATTTATTCATAGAAACTAATTAAATATATTTATTTAAATTGCAGGACAATGATAGTTGAATGTGACATTAATCTAATAACATTATTTAGAGTCTGCTTACTTATATTTTTCATTTATTTATTTATTGTTCTTTGGGAGGGATTTTTGTGTGCATGTGGGCCTATTACTGATTCTGCACTTCCCTCCAGGATGTGTCCTATATCCCTACAACCAATGAGAAAACGGTGACCTACAGGAGGGACCGCCCACCCGACCACCTTCTGGAGATGCACATACAGGTCCCTAAGATGCCCCTGGGTGACCTCTGGCAGTACTGACAGCAGGAGCTAGACATGGACATCTGAAGGGAAGCAGCAAGGACACTCGAAAGGAGAGCTTGACCTAAAAACTTATTTTCTTCTTAAAGGGGCCATATCATGCAAAATCCACCTTTTGGAGCTTTTTACCATGTGGTATTGTTTCCTCGTGAAAAAATAACCCCAACCTCGTTTTTGGCTGCATTCATGCATTTTCCTGTCTCAGCGGCAAGTTTTCAGATTCTTGACGGACCCACATAACCGTCTCCGTGAAGCTGGTCCCGGTCTGAAACACGCCTGCCCTGGAAGGAGGACGCTAATGCCCACTCTCTCTGAGTTGTGAGAATAGACCAGTTGATTTTATTGCTGCAGCTGAAAATGTTTAGTCTGACCTTCAAGTCACTAAGTACTGCTTTAAACCTCCACCGGTACCAAAGGGAATTTTCTGACAAATGACTTCTGCGTTGGGGATAAACACTGTCGTAAAAACATGTGTTCTGTCCACAAAAACACACGTAATGGCCAGCTCAGGATGTGTGTGTTAGGTGACTAGAACTTTATAATAGCTGTGGTGGTTTAGTGGATAGAGCACCTGCCTTGCGTGCTGATTGGTTAGCACCTTACATCAACTCTCCGTCTCAGCAGTAGCAGTCTTTTTTAGCTACACTTGCCAGTGTTACGCTTTCAGCGCTTTATTGGGAAACAGTTTTAAATATAAGACTAATCTTTTTTTTTCACTTTTTTTGTTTAGCCAGTGGGAGTCCATGTGAGGTGAGCAGAGTAGATCGCTGCTTGGAAATGACCAAATTCAAAGATCTTTAGAGACACAAAACATTTAGCAGAAAATAAAACAAAAAATATAAGAATTGAAATCTGCTTCTGCTGGCTAAACTAATTACTGTCAACACCGGGAGTCGTACAGGTGTCGGGACATGCAGAAAGAAGGCAACAGGTAGATGCTTTAACCGCTAGACCACCATGCAGCTGTTGTACGGACATTTTATCAGAGACGGTGTGGACGGAGCACCAGGCGTTTTCTTCCTATTCGTTGCTTCTTTGTGGCCAACGTTTTTGCGGATTATGTCATGAATGGGTGGAGTTCACATGGGTGGAGGCGGGGTTTCACTTAATGCAAGCATTTGAGTTCCAGGTGCAAGTACAGGAAGACAAAAGTAACTAATATTAAAGATAAAAGGACATCTCAGTAGTGCCAACGGTAATATTTGATCATATGTTGTGCCTGCCTTTGCTCTCAAAGGTTTAGAATAGCATGATCTGGCTCCTTTAAATAATGGTGATCGAGCTACATGTGGACTACCCGAGGAAGGTAGATCAGACTGTGAAGCCTCCATGAAATCAGATTTGACCAAGCTAGTACAACTCCAGTGGCCAGTATCCTCTGATTCGTGATTTCAAAAAGCACAAAGGCCCTCACTGATTCCTCCTCAGGGTGCTGACTATTTCTACAGAAGAATAGATGATTATTTGTTGATTTTACTGTTTGAGCCATATGCTCTAACTTGTGTGTGTGTGTGTTTGTGCGCGCGAGCTCTATTTATGACGTAATTGTGAAAACACTACATTTTAGATGTTTAAGAGACCTCCAACTGCATCGTCTCTCTGTCTTTGTCTGCCCTCGTGTGGTCAATACGAGGTATGACATGTTTTCCCTAGACAAACTGACCTCTGATCTGGTGCCTTGGTGACACCAGTGACTCTCAATGCCTTTATTATTACCTTTTCCAAGCCATTTGTGGGATTATTCTAGTGTTTTAAATGTTCTTTTGTCTTGTTACAATCGATCCCATTCGCAAATAATGTATTTAAATTTAGTTTCCGTCTAATGAAAAACTGCTGCATGTTCTTTACAGTCTGGTGAAACTTGTACTCGTTGTGTTGTACTACTGACAACTGGGACAGGAGAGCTGTGGCAGTGTCTGTGAGCTCATTTGGGGCATTAGAAGTCATCTGTGTGCATCTGAAGCTAACAAGTCCACCTGAACACTGGAAGACTCTCATTCATATTTGTGTGTAACCAAACAGAAGAAGGTGTGACCTCATTGCCATGCCCCTGATGATTCCAAAACCATCTAAACAAGTAGAAGATTTAAAGCAGGAATCTGCTTTTTCCACGTGGACGTTCATGCTACAGAGATCGCCAGAATCCTGAGTGAGAAGAAAGCTTCTTCTCATGGGTTAACTTTTTAGAGCTTTCTAGATTTACTGTAAAATGGGAAACACTACTCGTTGTTTGTTTTGATCATGCTGTAGGATATTTGAACTCATTAGTATTACTGGATGATGGATATGCAGGTATTTATATAGGCTGTGGACAGTCTAACCTTAAGAGGTATTTAGCAATAAGGTACCTTTGTTAATCATCTCATCTGTTTTGGTACTGACTTGTGTTTTTGTTTGAGTTCTTTAAGTTAAAGCAGCGTCTCTAGATTGTAATTTAATGTTACTGTTTGACAGTTTATATAAAATAAAACGTGCAGATTTTTCTCTTTTAACCAGTTAGTTGTTTTTACTTTGACAGTTTATGTACTGAACAAGGCCTAATGCATATGATGAAACCGTGAAAAGTCTATTTCACCTATTTTAATGCTCTTGAAGATCAAAGCAACTTTTGATTTCAGCTTTAAGACCCTAACAAGTGTCGACCAAAGATAGATGCTAAAGCAGCTGGAGAAATCTGGGGAGTAGTGCCACTTATGTTTTTGATAAAACGCAGTTTTTGATTAATTAACTTGTAGTTATGGTCTGTGAGAGCTGCAACATGCAGATGAAATTATGTGAAGTGAGCTGCTTGACTGACCTGAAGGATAATTCAAAACTTGAATCATTTAATGCAGAAAACCAAATAAATCACATTAGTTGCTCAATTGCGAGATTTTTATGTTGATAGGAAATTTGTTATCTGATTATTTTCCTTAGAAAATGTTTACATTTTTGCTATCAAACACGTTATATTGTTGAGTTAAAACTAAGATTTATTATCACTCCTACTTCTAGAGAAATAAATAAAAGATTAGAAATCCTAATAAAATCAAAATGTTTATTTTAGGAGCTAATTCAGAATGTGGCCCTTACAGAAACCTGATAGCTTTTGGATTCCAGATGTTTCTTTGAAACTTTTTTTATGTATTTAAACTCAGAGTTAAATGTTTGGAGTTAGGCTGTTATGCGGCCAAACTTAGCTAAATATTGCAGAATAAAGGCACTGTTTCTATTGTACTTAATTATTCTGAAGCACACACACACACAATTAGTCTTTCTGAATTAGAAAACTTTATGTCCTGTAATTTTCAGGAAAATTTAGTTTTATTAAAAAAATACAGCAAACATAAACGTTCTAAAACCTGAAAAAAATGCTACTTTATTTATAATCGTGACTTATAGGCAACAATCACAAATGAAACACGGCACATAAACATTTATTTTAAGATTATAAAGCAATAAAATGTTGTATAAAATAAATTAGGTGCATAAAAGTAAAGAAAAGAGTAAACTTGGTTTTCTTTGCGAATCTCAGATGAGGTAAAAGAACCAGAGCTCACGGCTGAAGATTAAAGTGCCTTTGACGTTTTTATCCAGTGAAAGTGAACCAGACTCATCCACCTGCTGCTCACTGCCCTTCCTCGCTCGGGGCGTCGCGCGCTCCCGGAGCGCCGCCCGAACTAGCGGGCAAGCTGTTATCCAGGTCCCCTTTCCCAAGTCCCGGTTCCTCATCTGAACCCTCCGCGGTGTGTGTCCTCAGGTGTTTGCTGAGGTGATCGGAGCGCGTGAAGCGTTTACAACAAATCGGACACTCGAAGCGCTTCTCCCCGGTGTGCGTGCGCAGGTGGCGCTGGAGCTCGTCGGAGCGCGTGAAGCGTTTCCCGCACGAGAGCCAGTTGCAAACAAACGGCCGCTCTCCGGTGTGCCAGCGCAGGTGCGCTTTCAGGTGGGAGGTTTTACCGTAAACCTTCCCGCATCCCGGGATGTGGCAGCTGTGTTGTCCCTTTGCCCCCTTTAGACTCGGAGCCTCCGGACCGAGGCTCTCCGCCTCCTGGCAGTTCGGGCAGTCACATGTGGCTCTGCTGGAGTAGCGCCGCGATGAGGACCGGGAAGGCGCGGGCAGAGGAACCGTGGGGGGTCCCGGCCTGGGAGGCGCCACTGTGCTTATAGGCTCTGCGTATGGTGGTCTGAAGCCGTCAAACAGGTGCTGCGTGGCGGGGAACAGGTGCTGGGTTGCTCCAGGGCTGAAGACGGAGCTGTACTCGTTACTGTAACCGCTCAGGGAGCAGGGCAACCCGGTTGGGTTTTGCGCGTCCACCCAGCTGGTGCTCCTGTCCCACCACGGGGACCCGTTGCCGACCTCTCCCACGGGTTTGAACCAGGAATCATAGGGATGCACTCTGGGATAAATCATGCTTTCCACTGACGAAGGGAACTTTGGCATGAACACCTGGCGTTGAGAGGAGTCAGAGACGCTGTCTGAGGACGACACCGCGCTCTGGTACGCTGAAAAGTCATCTCCTAAAGAACAGCTGGCGGCTTTCAGGCAGAAGGCGCTGGAGGCCTCCGTCAGTCCAGGCCCATTGCTCCTGGATGTCCCGGAGGAAACTGTGATGGGGGAGAGGCAGGAAGCCAGGCTGCTGCTGGTCTGGGGGCTCCCCTTCCACGGGTGAAACCCCTTGGTGAGTCCAGGAGCTCCATCAGAAAGGGCTGGGGAGCAGGAGGGGGTGGGGTCCCCGATCCGGCAGCAGGTGGCGGCCAACAGGGCCAACGGGGTGCTGCCCATCCGTGGTTCCTCCTGGAGAGCACAAATAGCAGGTTTACGCTCAAACTCAACCCCAAACACTATTATTATTAGTAACATATTTAAAAAACGCAGTTTATCAAATATTTTTCACCAGAAAAGCAAACAACATTTTTTACTTTTCCAGCTTCAACATGCGCGTTATAAACGACAACTTTCCTCCCTGTAGTGCTGGAAACGCGCTCCGGTGAGCCTGTGGCACAGGCGCGCAGGCTTTTGGGCCATCTCGCCACATCCGGGGAAGAGCCTAGCAACATATTTCCACCAGAAAGGCGATTCGTCGTCTCCTTGAGTAACTGGCTCTCAGTAGGCTGCTTTTCAGCTCCGGAGCGTTTCTTTGCGGTGCCGCCGCGGGACCGCACCTCGTGCACGGGGAACGAAGATGGACAGAACACCACAGCTCTCTTTTATCATTTGCTCGGAACCCGACATACTTCCAAACTGCAGAAGTCATTTCCCCCGACACCAAGTCACCTAATGCGCTACCCGCTGCCATCTCCCCCCCCCCCCCCCCCCCCCCCCCTCCCTCAATCTCTTCAAGGCTGTCACATGATGACATCACGTCCATAAATTGTGTAGAATGTCTCCAATCTTCGGCCGTAACATATTAAACTAAATAAAATAAATTAAAAAATCGACCATACATCAGTTTTAAACGTTAAGTGAGTTATTCGTATTTAATCCTGATCTCCTATTGCAGTATTTATTTATTTATTTATTCATGATGGAATTGTCACTGATACCTATATAAACACCGGCTGCATACTTTATTACCATAATACTGGCCAAGCCTAAAAAGTACCAACTGCAGAGTTTTACAAACATACGGTTAACAGTGAAACTCACCCCTAACAGAGCCGTCGTGAGCCGTGCTGGTGTCTGCAGCAGACAGAAGGAATTAAATGAGTGGTGAAGTGGCTGTGATCACACTGAGTCTGGTATCTGACTCCTTCACTCGTTCTAGCTTCTTCCTGGCTTTGAAGTGCCGCTGGGCCAGCGCTGACCAATCAGAGAGCAGCTCAGCATGTTGACCAATCAGAGGGGAGCTAGGCTTGCCTCTGAAAAGGCGGGCTGAGCGAGATCCTCATAAATCAAACAGCTTCAATGTCCATAAACTTGCAGCGAGATTTGTTTAAATTATTAAAGAGGCCACAGCATGAAAATCCCCTTTCTGGAGCTTTTTACTTCGTAGTTTAAAAAAATAACCCAAAAGCTGTTTTTGAACGCTTTCTTGCATTTTCTTGTCTCAGTTGGAAGTTTTCAGATTCTGAGATGAGAATGTGTGATCAGGCCTTTCTCCTAAAGCTAGTGGATCTGAAACCCGCCTCCCCTGGAAGTAGGTCACTTACGCCCACTTTCTCCTAGCTGTGAGCATAGAGCAGCTGTTATCATGCTGCAGTTGAAAATGTTTTAGTCTGTGCCCATTATTCCACAGATGACTGCTTTAATAACTTTCACCGGCGGCAGCGGATGTTCTGACCAATTACGTCTGCAGTTTGTCTCTGTTCCTACATTACAACCACCCTATGGAGAGACCGCAATGCTGGTTTATACTTCTCCATCAGCTTGAGTGTGGAGTGGCGCACACGGATGGATGGAGAGGTTTTCCCTTCGAACATCTTTCGTCAGTTAGGGAGTATTGAAAAGCAGTTCCCTGGCAGGGAAACAGAGGGCGTAGCGCTTTTGGGGGTCTCCTGCCACCATTACAGTCACCTAACTGGTCCATGATGGTGTTTATGTATTTCAGGGAGTTTTTAATGCAGATAAAGTTGTTCTTCATTCTCCTCCGCTTCTTAATGCAGTCGCCACCTCTAAACCCACGTTTCCCATCATTTCTATCCACAAATAAGACGCTTGCTGCATGTATTTGTATTCTTAAAGTCACGGGTGATTAAACGTTAGTAGATTCGGACATTTTCCATAAGACGTTCTTCAGTTGCATGCCCGGAGACAGCTGGAGATAGGCGCCAGTGACCCTGCGTGGATAAGCGAGTAAAGAAAATAGATGGATGGACGTTCTTCATTCGGTTCTGTCGTTCTCTAACTTTCTTTGGCTCTTTCTTTATTCTATGAGGGGGACAGTAATGGTAATAATATTAATAATAATAATACAGTTTATTTATAAGTGCCTTTCAAGACTCTCACGGTCACTGAACATAAAACATGAACATAAGTACCACAGTTTATAAACAATGTAAACAAATCACTTGGAGTTAAGAACATCAACAGAGCACATAAAATGAATGAGGGCAGGTTAAAAAGTAAGGGCGGATAAAACAACAAACTAAAAGGAATTACAAATGATGAAGTAGAATATGCACCCCTGAATAAATGAGTTGTAAGTAGTACGGATGCACTGATCGGTGCCGAGACAGATACCGGTAAAAGTTAACAGATACCAGTAACTGATACCAATGCAGTTGCTTGAAAGTGACTTCACTGTAACTTGTCCTTTCTGTTCATCTAATATTTTAGTTTTGTGATCATTTATTTTAACATATTTTACTTTTCATCTACCTCACAGTCTTTTCCTATTGAAAACAGAGAAGAAAATAAAACCTGTATACCAATTAATTGCATTTTTGTGTGTGGTATCGGTATCGGTAATCGGCGAGTACTCAGATCCAAGTATTGGTATCGTATCGGTTTGGAAAAAAGTGGTATCGTTGCATCCCTAATAAGTAGTGATTTGAGTGTTTGAACAGATGGAGCTGAAAATATTCCAGTATATTCCAAATATGACCAGTGTCGCATGTTGGGACACACAGGTGTGTGACGGTGTGTGTATCGACCACGCAGTCACTTTGAGATTTATCAGCTTGTAAAATTGTGTCTTACATATTGACACATCCAGTGTCCACTCCTGTAGACGAAGACTGAGGAGACATTTTAGCTGTTAGATCAAGATGTTAAAAAGACAAACGCACAGCGAGGAGACAGGTTTCACTTTTGCTAACTGGACCCTAGGGGTGTTTAAAGAAAGCCAGCGCTTCTCAAACACGCTGACTATGGGGGATTAATCAGAATGTTTTAAATAAAATGAAATGACATCCTCTTCTTCAATCTGAATTGGTTTAATTATAAGAAACACTTTAAAGGATACATTTAGTTAGAACTTCAAATTCATTAAGCAAGAATTTCTTAATTTATGGGTTAAATTGTTTTTTTATCCTCTCTTTGTCCATATAAACAGTTTTATTTGTGTTTTAAATTCGCCAAACAACACATTTGCTTTAGAATACAATGTATTGGCACCTCTCAGCATCACAAGTAAGTAAGTAAACTTTATTTGTATAGTACCTTTCCCAGGCATAAGCCACAAGGTGCTTGACAACATTTTAAAAGTTTAAACAAGAAATGAGAAAATAAAAACTGTGAATAAAAACAGTGAAGTAAAACAATTAATAAAAATAAATGAAAACACATCATAAAAGGCCAAGACCACACAGAAAGCATAACAGCTCTAAAATAACTAGATGAATAACTGGACAAATAAATGAGTCTTAGGCCTAGTCCACACGTAGCTGGGTTTTTTTTTAAACGAATATCCGCCCCTCCAAAAACTTGCATCCACACCACCTCGTTTAAAACAAAACTCTGTCCACACGTACCCGGATAAATACGTTGTTAAGGACATGCCAGACCTGTAGGCGGCAGTACTTCCCCCGTTCTTAACCTCGTCCTTCGTCTGTGGTCTTCCGCAAGGAGCAGTAATTCCGCTTGCAAAAACAAACAAGCAAAAAGCGCTTGGGCAATTGATAAAGCGAGCGCAGCTCTGAGGGCATCCATGCTGTCGGCTAGTGTAAACACAGGTCGCACACGTGATGTCAGCATTTTTTTGTCGCGGAAAGTGACGTTGCGGACCTTAAAACTCCGGTTTTGTCTGTCCACACGCAGACACCCAAAACGGAAAAAACGCAGATCTTCACTTTGGCCGGAGTTTTTAAAAAGATCCGTTTTCGTGTGAAAAAACTCCGTTTTCGTGTGAAAAAACTCAGTTTTCGTGTGGATGACAGGCCAAAACGTAGAAAAATATCTACGTTTTGGCAGATCCCCGGCTACGTGTGGACAGGGCCTCAAGCTCTCTCTTGAACTTGTCGACAGAATCAATAGAACGCAGAGTGAGGAGTAGGTTATTCCAGAGCTTAGGAGCTACAGCTTCAAATGAACGGTCACCTCTAGTGTGATAGTAAGTGCGAGGAATTTTAAGCAGATTAAGATCCCCACTCCTCAGAGCATAGGGGTGTAGGGTTGGATCAGTTCTCTAATGTAGGAGGGAGCTTGTCCATGCAGAGCTCTGAAAACACAAACCATAATCTTAAACTTAAACCTAAAAGACACAGGCAGCCAATGAAGTTCCTTTAGGATGGGGGATATGTGAAACCTCCTATTTGTGCGCGTCAGGATTCTTGCAGCAGATTTCTGCACTAGATCACAACATACCCTACAAGTTAAAATTTGTACGTCGCTTTGGATAAAAGCATCTGCCAAATAAATAAACATAAACATAAACACTAGTTGCAGACAATGGAGCTCCTTCTTGTTCAGACTAGAAAATAAACTATTACAATAGTCTAAACGGAATGACACAAAGGCATGAATGAGGAGCTCCAAATCATTTCTTGACACCATACGTCTAAACTTCGAGCTGTTCCTTAGTTGAAAAAAGCAGTTTCTAGTTATCTGCTTACAGTATTGCACAAAAGACGTTTCACTGTCAAAGATGACTCCTAAATTTCTAAGGCTTAATTTCACAGATTGGCCCATATCGCCCAGGTACTGCTTAATCTCCGGGGCAGAACCAACAGGGGCAACAACCAGAGTTTCTGTTTTGTTAGCATTTAGCTGCAGGGAATTTTCATTAAGCCATTTCTTTATCTCCACTAAACAATGGCGCAAAGAGTCTAACTTATTCAGCTCAGACTGCTTAAAAGAGCAGTATAGCTGAACGTCATCAGCAAATAGGTGGAATGAAATGTCACTAAACCTTTGAATGATCTTACCCAAAGGGGTCAAATACAACTAGAAAAGAACGGGACCCAGGACGGAGCCTTGGGGCACTCCACTCAACAATTCTGCAGATTTCTGACCATAACACTAAAGCTACGTTCTGATAAATAAGAGGAGAACCACTGAAGGACTGTCCCTGATAGTCCAATTTGGTCCCTCAGTCTCATCAGCAGAACCTGATGATTAACTGTATCGAAGGCTGAAGAAAGGTCCAAGAGAACCAGAACAGTGCGTTTTCCAGAATCAGCTGCCATCATAATCTCACTGGACACTTGCAATAAAGCTGTTTCCATAGAATGGTGTTTACAGAAACCAGACTGAAATGGCTCAAGGATGTTATTTTGGTTGAGGAAGGTAGACATCTGTTCATCGACCACCTTCTCAATAGGTCAATAGTTGCTAAGGTCAGTTGGGTCTAAACCTACTTTCTTTAGTAGTGGCTCCACAATGGCATGTTTAAGCATGTTTAACACACCAGTTGTTAGAGA